AAGCGGGGCGCTTGCGGGGGGCCCCGCCCCCGAGCACGTGGCTGGGGGGGGCGCCCCCGGGCGTGCATGTGTCCCCGGCCTCTGGCGCCCAGCAGCCTCTAAAGGTTGGGGACCACTGCCCTAGAGGAAGGGAACAGAGCAGGTAATCCTCACATGATCCCTTTCCTGTCATCAATTTCTAGACAGAGACTAAGGACACCATTCCTACCCATCTTGGCTAATAGCTACTGATGGACCTAACCTCCATGGCTGCGTCTAGACTGGCCGCTTGAATTTCCGCAAGAACATTGACTTCCTACTGTCTGAAATCAGTGCTTCTTGCGGAAATGCTATGCTGCTCCCATGTGGGCAAAAGCCTTCTTGCACAAATGCTTTTGCGCAAGAGGGCCAGTGTAGACGTGGTATTGTTTTGCACAAAAAAGCCTCGATGGCGAAAATGGCGATCTGGGCTTTCTTGCGCAAAACCGCGTCTAGATTGGCACGGATGCTTTTCCGCAAAAAGTGCTTTTGAGGAAAAGCGTCTGTGCCAATCTAGATGCTCTTTTCCGCAAATGCTTTTAACGCAAAACTTTTCCATTAAAAGCATTTGCGGAAAATCATGCCAGTCTAGACGTAGCCCATGAGTTTAATCTATCTCATTTTTTTGAACCCTGTTAAAGTCCTAGTCTTTGCAACATCCTCTGGCAAGGAGGTTGACTGTGTGAAGAAAAACTTCCTTTTGTTTTTAAATCTGCTACCTATTAATGTATTTTGATGACCCCTAGTTCTTTTATTGAGATCAAGTAAATAACTTTTCCTTACTTCTTCCACAACCTTTTTTTTTTGCTTTAGGTGTGGGGTTGGCCTCATTGCTTGTCTTGTCATCATGTGCCAGCTTGTACAAAGGTTCCCTCAGATTGGGTCATGTCTTTAGTTTGTTTTCAGAACAGGCTACTATACAAACTTAACCACTATATGAAAGAATGTTCTTGCCTGACAATTGCCTTGCTGTAGCACTCCAAATTTCCACACAGCTTTCCAGACACCATAGTAGGCAGTATCTGACTGAGTAGCGTAAAATGTAAAGTCTTGCTCACTCTTTTTTTTTTCTGGGGCAGGAGGCTGTTTGGACACACTTTGTGTGAATGACAGCTAACTTTTGAAGAGCCAAGGAATTTGTACTTCTGTAGAATCAGGAAGTCTCCATGCTAAGTTACTAGGATCTCTCTGGGAAGGCTTGCAAAGGAAATAGGCAATTTTCAGAAGTCTACATTTGGTTTAAACTTGTAAAATGTACACTAATAGCAATTCAGAAGTATTAGTGAAGAGCTGAAACCATTTGATTAAATCCTGTATTTGTTTGCTCAGATAAGCAGGACCACTTAAGTGCACTCATAAAATGTGAATCAAGTAAATACCTCTTTCCCCAGGATGCAAAACTTAATGAATAAATATAGTTTGAAAATTCAACTCTCGTTTAACTACTTCAACCCCTTGTTCCATTCATCTGAAGTAAGGTGTGCTTACAAGCTCATATCCCCATCAATATTTTTCTTCATCTTTATGGTACTGCGAGACTCTTCTTTTAAAAGTTTATTAATAAATTAAACACAACCTAAGCTACTCCCTGAGAGATTTAAAGAGGTGAGGGTAACCCTACTGGACAAAATTCCCAAGAGTTTTTTCCTAGGTTCAAAAAAAGGGGGAGTTGCATTTGAGTGGTAGCAGCATCTCACCTATGCACAGGGAGTCTGTGACATTGGAGAGTTTAAGCACAAGCCCTTAATGGCAGGGTATTTTTAAAGTCTCTGGTAGAGCCTTACCATTCTGCTCTTGGAAGTCTCAGAGTTGGGAATAAACTAGCCGTGGTGGAATAATTCTGAACCAGAAACAGACCTCAGGATTTTAAGAGGACACTTTTCTCCTTTTGACTCTTTGGAAGTTTGGAAATTTTTTTCTTTTGCTGCCTGAGGGGGAAAGGCACACAAAAGGTTCAACCTTCAAAGCTAGAGTCCTAGACAGTTCTCCTTCCCCCAGCTTTCAGAGCAACTGATAGCTAGGTCAGGCAGAGTAGCCCTGGAGCAACCACCTTCCCATAGCAGCATACCAAGACAAAAACAGCCCCAGATCATGGTGAAATGGGAACACCCAAACATCAAGGGTGCAAAGGATGTCCATGAAGGGGCAGGAGTCAATAGTGGCAGTCATGTTCCTCCAATTTCACAGGCATCAAGGTGGGAGGATGTCTGTGACGGGCACATTTCTAATGACAAGATGGGAGTTTTCTAGAGATGAGGCACTTGGAAGCATAAGAGGTGGGGGAAACTGGAGCCAGTTTGGGTGGAAGTGGAGAGAAACAGATCCAATCCAGAGGATTAGTATGCCACCCTCAATTTGAAGGATGCCTACTTTCATATTGCAATCTAACTTTCACATAGACAGTACATCTGCTTTCTGGGGGGGAAGTACCCATTTTAAGCTCACTACCCTCCCCTTTTGGCTCTCTATGGCACCCCAACTGTTTACCAAATGCATGGCAGTTGGTAGCAGCTTTCCTCCAGCACCATGGAATCCGTCTTCACCTACCTGATGACACTGGCTCTGGCAGGGCCATTCCTACTGCCTTCATTTGAGCCACTAACTGCTAGGCTCAACCCCAGGAAGTAAATCTTTATGCCCATGGACAAGCTAGAGTTCATCAGGGCAGTGCTTGACCCCACCAGGGCACAGGACCTTTCCACCACAGCAACAACTCAGCTGTCACAGTTACTTGCCAACTTTCTGGTCACTACGGCCAGGACATGCCTCGTGCTTATGGGGCACATGGCGCCATGTATATAGTCCCATTTGTAAGGTTCCATCTGCTGCCCCTCCAGCCTTGGCTCGCATCAATGTATCACCCAGGGCACAACAGCATCAGTATGGTGGTCACAGTTCCTTGTCATTCACAGCCTCAGGTAGTGGATGATTCCCAAGTGTGTTGGTCAGCATACCATTCCACCCTCCACAACCTAAGGGGTCTCTAGTTACAGACACACCTGCTTTAGCCTACAGGGGACTGCCTCAGGGACCTCGCCACTCAACTATGTAGAAAGTAGAGGAGTTGTGTCACCACAAAATTCGAGAGCTTTTCTACCTCACCTTCAGGGGAGATGCATGGTGGTCAGTATAGATAATGAATGCCATGTACTATATCAAAAAACAAGACCATACTAGGTCATCCCTACTCTGCCTGGAAGCCTTTACCTGTGGAAATTGTGCATAGCCAACTCTTTTTGCCTGGAGGCAAGACATCTACCAGTGATCCAGAAGCAACTGGCTGTTTCAGCCACCACTTTTTTGCTTACAAGAGGTCAATCCAGCAGAACATGCTCCACACCATTTTTCAGAAGTGAGGACCTTCCTTCAACCTTGTCCTCTCATGGGTTCCTCCTCCCACATCATTTGAGCCTCTGGTTACTTGGCTCCCTGCTTTAGCTACTGTGGAAGATGGCTTTTCTAGGTGTTATCAGCTCTGCTCGGCCAGTGTTGGGAATTTTGCGCACAGATGTTGGAATTCCCATACACTGTGTTCCACAAGACAAGATCCAGCTTCGCCCTCATTTGGTTTTCCTTCCAAAAATAATCTCAAGCTTTCACACTGGGCAGAACATTTTTCTTCCCTTGTTCTATCCTAATCCTGCACCAGAGTTTGTGGGAGGAAAGACTCCCTTCATGTGAAACATGCACTTACATTCTACATCAACCGGCCTAAGTCCTCACAGCAGTTCGTGGTGATGGCAGATCACATGAGAGGACAGCGTGTCAACACAGGTAACAGATTTTTTTTCAATTATACTCCAGACATTTTTCTTCAAAAAAAGTTTATTTATGCGAAGCCAACCAGAAAGTGTTGTGTAAAAGTGAAAAGCCCATTTTACATATGATAAAAACGTGTATGCACTTAGTCTAGGAAAAGTGAGGATTTTGAGTTGTCTAATCAACTACAGGAATCTGCAAGCTGTTTTTAAAAAATAGATATTGATATTCAGTCACTTATTTTCC